GTACCGACACTAGAGGTTGTCGCATCGACTTCGGAGGTTCTAATGTCGACTTCGAGAGTGCCTCATCCACTGGTATATCCGGCGTTCCGGATAGTTCCCGAGCTCCTCCGAGTTAATAACATATTTTTATCACTCGAGGATGGTTAATTATTTTTTTACTTTAATATATCATTTCAATAATTTTTATGTTTTTTTTTAATTTTTTGTTTTTGTTTTGATGTTCGATAGTTTCACTCGGTCTAATAGAGATTATGCCATAAAGATAACCATAATTTTTAAGAAGCGGTTGGACTTTAGTGGATCGGTCTAGAAGTTTATCTCCGACCTCACTAAACAATTCTACTTCAATGAGTTTAGGATAACGTATTATCAATTTTCTTCATAATTAAAATACAAAATTTTCATTAAATAAAGTTATTAATATTAATCTTTTTATTCGTGTAGTAATATTGGATCGGGATTCGACTATCGAGGCACTTGTCGGAGAAGTATGGGAGGCTCTAACAAAAAAAAAAAAAAAAACTATGTCGACTTTGTCTATAATCGTAGTTTGTTGGGCGATCGGACTACTTTTATTAGATAAAAGGTCTAGGACACATGGAAAAAACGATTTTGTGAGAGCTCGTTCAAAGTAAGCATCATGAAATTGGTTGTCAAAGATCGATGGCTGCAGTACGGGTTCTTCTAAGCATATAGGGGCTCCATTTCTATAGAAGAGCACGCTCATCGCTTGATAAATTACACACTTTTTATTATTAATTATATGTTTCATGAAATTTAAATTTTCATCTCATATTGTTTATGTTTCATTTTTTTAGGAGGTAAGATTGGGCCAAGAGCCAACGAGTTTTGAGTTGTTTCAAATGACTCACAAACGACGAGATAGATCTTTCGTTGATCTACGCCCTCAACAAACAATGGTAAGGTTTTTTAATTTCAAATTTTATATATGAAAAGATAATCTAAATTTTGTTTTAATCTCATAATGATTTCATTATTTTGATTACGTAGGAGCATGTTGAAGAGCTCATTCGGGAGGCGATTACGATGCAAGAGGTGAAAGCAATCCTAGAGCTAGAAGTTGACAAGAATGTTATATACCTCGAGGCTATTGGGGAGAAAAAGAAAAAGGTATATGGCATAGGCACACAAGTGGTGCATTACCTATCCCAATCAAGTGGCGGTAACTCCGCATTTGTTTCATCGCATTTCATCGACCCTACTAATGACGAGCTTCGAAGGACTAGTAAGAGATAAAGGAAGTGATGAAAAGGATAAAGGTCAAATAAGACGAGCTTTGAAACCTAGTCATAGAGTAGTAGAGCACCATACATATGCTTAACTCTCAATACGAGACGATGACCTCCATGTTGATGAGGCTGGCACGGATAATTGAGTTAACTATAGATCCATCTACCAATCGGGACTCCACCGTTCCTCCCGCCTAACCTCCCATCAAGTCCCCCATCTAGTATCGGAAGAAGGATAGGGGATTAGGTGAGCATGATGAGTGATAATACATTTTGTTACTTTGGTTTTTTTTTTCCATACATACTACTTGAATATAGTTATTGTTCATATTGATTTACATTTAATTTATAAGTTATTACTTGTAATTGTTAATTATTACATATAATATTAATAATTTAAAAACAAAGAAACAAACAAAAAAAATGTAAAGAATATATATTTTTTAAAAATAATTAGTGATGGAATAGCGATGGATTGCCAAAAAAATTCCTTGCTTATAGTGATGGATACGATGATAATTAGCGAAAAAATAGAGACGATTTAGTGACCTCTCCACTTAGCTTCGGATGTTAGCGATGGCATGTAGGTCGTTAACTAGCGATGGACTTAGCAATAGATTAACAACGTCGGACATGATGTTTCTCGGGAAAAAAATAGCAATGGATTATTAAACTATAGCGATGGACATTCTATCATAGATACAATGATAGAATGTATTTTGATGTCGCTAATTTTAGCGACAAGCATTTTAGTGAAGGAAAGAATTTCCATTGCAATGCCCTTACTAGGCTAATTTAGTGACGGATTTTAGCTAATTAGCGATGGAATAAATTATGGATTTTTTTTATAGTGGTTAGTTACGCTTTGGGAAGATATCGATCACTCAAAGATGTCATTTCCTAAGAAAGATACCACATCTAGTTTAGTCTTAAATTCATCTCCTAAAATATTTTATTTATGCCAAGTTATTCTCGATTTAAATTCCAATTTCTATGTTGAATTAAGTCTTTTATTTTTGGGTGTGGCATCGAATCGAAATGATCATAGGTCTCCTTCATCGAGCGACAAATCGATCAAATATCGAATCCACTTTACACTTTGATACAACCGTTGTGTCGGAGGATATTCGATCATTAAATGTTGATGATGTATTTTTTTAAATAACAATAGTCCCTATTAGATAAGAGACTTTGTTAGGAAAATTTATTATTATGTTTTCTTTTTATTTTTTTTATTAATGATAGTCTCTATCGGAGAGGAGACTTCGTTAGAAATTTTAATTAATTTATTGATATGAAACTTTCATCGGTCCCTAAGAATTATGAGACTCAAGAATTTACCCATCTAGTAACTACTAAACTAATTTTGAAACAAAATCCTAAAATTAAAATTAACTATTAATTTTCCTTCTTTTTCTTGTTTAGCATTTTTTTATTATTTGTTAATAAAAAAATTATTATTTGTCCCTAAAAATTAGGAGATTCGATAATTCTTTTATCAAATAATTATGTAACCTACTTATTGAAATAAATTTTAAAATTTAAGGTTAATTAAATAGATTCTAAAGAAAAACATCTAAAAAAATTAAATCTAAATTAACGCAAAAAAAAAAAAAAGATACTATGGAGAAACAAAAAATATTCATATTTAAGTTATCTAAACAAAATCAAAACATGTAAAAAAATAATCTTATTGGGTCACAAGCCTATTGCGTCGAGCTCATTAGCCTTACCCCTTGTCCTTCTTTTCTTTTCTCTTTTTTATTTTCTTTTTGGTCTAACTTGACTAATTCCAGTTTCTTATCCTGATTTTTTATTTTTTATTTTGGTGGCAGAAGTTGGATTGAAACCAGATTCTGCCTGATTTCTTTCCTTCTTTTTTTTTTTTAAGGTCGGGTCTGAGCTGGGCTGGTTTAGCGTGGGTTGGGCTTGGCCTAACCCACGCATCAAGGGCTCAACGTAGTAGTGACATTGTCACTGCTGTGCTTCTCTTCTGTGACTTAAATTCAAGGATTCTGGTACATATGAAATGAAAATAGGTAGGAGATGAGTTTAAAAGCACTTGAATGAAATGGAAAAAATGGGATGGCAAATGTGGAGATCCTAGTGTTGTTGTTGTTGTTGTTGCCTTGTGATTGACTGTGAAAGATGAACAAATGCTTGGGACTTGTTGTTAATTTCAGGATTTAGGAATAAGGTTGTGGATTAATATGAATCATATAAACCCAGAAATTCAAATGTTGTTTGCCCATAATTTGAAGTATTTGAAACAATGAGAAACCTAGAAAAATGAAAGACACTGCCCAGAAAGCTAACTATAAGACCTAGAAAAAAGGAAATGGAACCCAAAAATTCAAATTGTCTAGAGACTCAAGATGAAAAGGAACTAGAAAAACGAAGAACACTTGACTAAAAAGTTCAAATGGAAAACCAAGAAAATGAAATGGAACCCAGAAGCTCGAAGAACCAAACCTAGAAAAACTGAAGAACAAATGAACAAATGCTCAAAAAATTTGAAGGAAAACCCAAAAACTTCAAATTAAAACCAGAAAGTGTGAAAATCAAATTGAAAAACCCATGAAATTCAAGATAAAACTTAGAAAAAACCAAGAAAACCGAATTGAAATGCCCCACAGGTGAAGAACAATAGGCTAAAAACCAAAAATTTCCCAGAAAGTGCAAAAATCTCAAATTCCCAAAATCCCTCGATTTTCAATCTTTTTCTCTTGATTTTCACTCTCACTCAACTCAGAATTTTCCACCCTTTTCTTGTCGTCCCCTCTTCCTAGCCAAAACAAGCCTTTTATAGGCTAGAAATTGCTCAATTATCTCCTCCAGAATCTACCCATTCATGCTGGATCCAGCTGCTAAGGCAAAAACTTTGCCTCGGATCAGCTAAATAAAAAAAAAACCAATTTTTTGAGGCATGATTCTTTGCTGGTATCAATTCCAGCTAAGAATCACACTAAATGCGAATCAAACAACATAATTTGAGGAAGATTTGTCTCTTGGGAAGATTGAGGAACAATCACAGGAGAGATTTTCTACATCGGAGTGGACAATAGGTAATCCGTTAGGCTTCGGTTCTATCGTTTGCTCTAGAATTCCAATTTGGTCCTTGCAAATTTTAATTACCTATAATCGTATCCTTTTTCTATGTAATTTCAGTTCTTGTAAAGTATAATTTTAGCAATTGGGTCTCTATAGAGTATAATTTAGGTTCTAAATTTCTCAATTGATTCAATTGTATTCCTAATTACCTTAATTACACTTTCCTTTAGTGCAATTGTCTCTCTGAACGAAATTTTTTTATATTTTTATCATTTTTTTAGTAAACTCCAAAATCAAATTAAAATGAAATAAAACAAAATAAAAAATATATAACAACAAAAAATATGAAGATATTTTGGGTTACGACAGTGCCAATAGATTTTCCAGCTAGGATTTTGAAAAGAATAAAAAATGGTTGCACGGGAGAGAGAGAGGGAGAAGGAGAGAGCCAATATACGTTAAACACTTGTTAAATCACACATAAGAGCTTTCATTAATTTCACACACAGACCTTCCACACATGACAAAGCAGGGCAGACCGGCACGATACTGAAACCTATAAATAATAAGCTAGCCTCCACAGCATTAGATACATTAACATAGGAGAACAGGTGTCTGTCCCCGCCAAATTTCACCACTTATTATTATTCATACCACTAATCATTTTCATTTAATAGTAGCAGCCAGCATGTGATCTGATCATGCCCTAGCCACTGGTAGCTGAGTAAGGTGGTGATCCTCAATGTCTTTGCTGATATGGATGCAAAGCTCAAGCATTGTATGAGGATCTGGAATATTCTCATTCAGCTTCTCATATTCCAAAGTCCAGTTAACCACGCAGCTGCCATCTCCCTTGGGAGTAGCTTGAACGATAAATATGAAGTTCTTGTACTCCGTGGTGATGTCTCCTTCAATCACTTTGAAGGTGGTCGACAGCTTCACATCATCTATAGCTTCAATAACCTCCTTAGCAATCTTAGAAACCCCACCTATTAATTTTTGCAAACAAATTAAATATCAGTGATGAATAGTTGGGCTAAAAAAATACATAGAACCCAGAACTATTGAACTTTTTAATTTACAATTCTTATATATAAATTTTTTATTTTAGTATATAAACTATTCAGTATTTGGATTCAGATTCCTTTGTTATTATTCATCACCTAAACATCACTATTCCAATTATCAGATTACTTCAAAAGACAATCAAAAAAATTCTTTTAATCTCGTTCCACATTAAAAATTATTTTAAAACTTAAATCGAATACAAAATTTTAATTTTAGTTCTCAGATTTAAAATTTTCTAAGTCTTAATCTAGTTATAATTGAGCCTAAGATTTGTGCATGAACCTATAACAGCAAAATCCTTTACTTATTGGTGGTCTTGTCACCAACAGTGAGGATCTTGATAAAGGACGTCCCAATAAGTTTTTTTCTACAATAGTGAGTTATAAATCCTGAATTTGAGTAAAGTTTTTTTTTAAAGGGACAATAATTCAGAAAGTCATTGTACGTATAGACAGATCTAAATTATTGCATCGATTATTCCATTCAATATATATATATATATATATTTGAATTGGGGTACGAAGCTAAACAATTATGGGGTTCATTGTAAAAGTACTTTTTAGAAAAATAACACTTTGTTTTAGTCACTAATATTGCTTATGCAATGTTTATTTTGGTTTTTTTTTTTTTTTTTTTTAACAGTTTTCTTTTCTTTGATGTCTTTCAATTTTGGAACTCATCGATATTAAAAAATGCTTCTCAATGTAAAAGTTTAAATTATTTTATGAGGTCCCAATAATAAAATTATATTAAAATTAATAGTTTTTTTTAAAATAAAAGCTTTTTAAATTTAGATTAGAAATTTGTATGAATCCATAATTATCTTGTGCTAAAATTTTTAATTTAATAATTAAAAGAATGAGTGTAGTTATGATTGATATTGTGACTGTTTGATGATTAGATTTTTAATATTATATCAAAAGATTGTCTCAATAGCTTAAATTTTTAAGTTAAAATTAAGAGATAAAATTAATTTAAACTAAAAAATTGTAAATCTTTTTAAAAATTATTATAGAATGTTGAAAATCCATACGGTTATTAAATTAAATAAAAAAAGAGCAAATCTGGTAAAACAAAATCCTACTATCAACGTTTTAATTCTTTTGACACTTCCAAAAAGAAAGTTCTAATTTTTGAATTCTAATTAGCCTTGCCCGTTACTATCAAAAGTTTGCACAAAATTAAGAATGCATAGTTTACAAGATCTATAGACTTATGATCGAATAATCAACATAGTCAAACTAATTAGTAGCTGGCGATGATAGATCGTCCTAGATGAAGGCAGAAATCGGCTCTCTTCTCATATAGTACAGTTACAAATAACTGGTCTAGAATGATCAAAATCGAACTACTTAGGAAAGTGTACCAAAAATCCATAGTCACTTACGATCATCATGTTATAAGCCAACCAAAAAAGAAAACAAAATTGTAGACCAATTATGATGCAAGTAAAGCAATGGTTAGCAAATTATATATGATCAAAACCAAGAAGATATGATTAAGAAGCCTGAGCAATGCGATACTTAATATTGTTTTGGTTAGGGGATTGATATTGACGACACGGCCTTACCATGTACGTAACTCCAGCAGACTACAGTGCCTGGCTTCCCCCAGTCACCTTCATGTAGATCAACATTCTGTACCTTTGCAGGGCTCATATTGGAGATGTGGTGTGGTCTGCAGCTGAAAATATCATGAAATGTTTCAGCAGAAACTTTGACCTCTACTTCTGCCTCCATCTTACCTAAGAGTGTCATTTTGTTGCAGGTAATCAAATTTGACAGACTATAAGCAGTTAAAGTTTTGAAACAACAAAATCAAAGATAGGTAGTTGTTGGAAAAAAGCTTCGGGATCGTATCCTTATATAGACGGGGCCGGGATGAGTTCACACCCAAAGTCATGATGAGATCAATTATATTTAGGGTTTCTATATTTAATTCTATTTAGTTGGTTTCTAACAGGTTTGTCTGCCATTATTCACATTTTTCTATTGTATGTATCATATTCTATGCATTTATATATTTATTCATCTATTGTGTTTGTGTATAGTCGTTTTTTTTTTTTTATCGTTGTTGTTGCTGCTTATTAAAAAACATATCTTATATTAAATAGTTAAACAATAGATAAATAATATATAAAATTGAGAAATGGTCATCCATCCTAAAGTTTAAGTCTTTTGCATAGAACTAAATTTTAACTATTTAATTCTATATAGTATTAGAGCTTAATACAACCTAGCAAGGATTGTGAAACCCAAGCTACTTAACATATCTCAAAAGATGGATTGCAAGTGAAGAGGAGTGTTAGAGCACATATTTCATAGTAAAAAATAAAAATAAAAATAAGTAATATATAAGTTTGAGAAGAGGTCATTCACCTAAAACTTAAATTTTTTTGAAACCCAATCTTAACTATATAATTTTATATGGTATCACGAGCTTCAAAGAAGCTTAACGACTCAACAGAGATTCTAGAGTTCAATCCATTTAACGGACCTTAAAAGATGGACTGCAAGCGATGAGGAGTGTTAGAGCACACATCACACATTAAAATGATAAATAAAAGATAAGTAATATATACGTTTGAAAAGAGGTCATCTATCATAAGGTTTAAGTTTTTTTAGATAAAATCCAATTTTAACTATCTAATTCTATATGGTATCAAACCTCAAAGGTGCTTAACTGACTCACTAAAGATCCCGAAACTTAAATAACTTGATAGATTCCAAAAGATAGATTGTATGTGAAGTGGAGTGTTCGAAAAAATATCCCATATTTAATAACTAAATAGGAGATAAATAATATATAAAATTGAGAAATGGTCATCAACCATAAGATTTAAGTTTTTTAAATGAAACTCAATTTCAATTATTTAATTCTATATCACTCATGCAATAAAGTTAGAATATTGATAGGAAAAAGAATAACAGCTTATTCAAATAGTTGTGTATAGTTACATTCATAAATACATATATGATGTCTTGTACCCTCCTTACTATTATAAAATATGTCCCTTTTGTTATGATAAAATTGACTCCTAAATCCAATAAAATTTTAAGCGCATAAAAATCTATATGTTTCTAATGGATTGTTAAGGAATGTTTATAGGCACCTAAGAGAGAGAGTTAACTCCAAGTTCTCAAAATTAATAACAATGTTGGGTAAGGGCGGCAAAATATGGCAATTGCAGCATATATATTAACAAATGGAGAAATGATCCCGATGAGGGCAGCATCAATTGTTGGATTTCATAAATGCATTGCGTATGCCTTAGCGGTCAATAATTACATGAAAGTAAATGCGTGGATGATATAAGTTTGTAACTCTTATTGTACATGTATATTTATTTGAGTTTTTTTTTTTTTTTTTTTTTTTTTTTTTTTTTGAAAAAAACAAAAGGTGTTGAATCTATCCCATACCCATCATGCATAACTGCTTGAATAATTTGAGTGAAAAAAAAACATTGGGATGTTTTATTGAATCAAAAAGGAAACAAAAGCATTTTGGTGTCAAACTTTTGATTTTTTTTTTGCCCGTTTTAGTATCCAATCGGTAAATTCTTTTATTCCAATGCTCAAATTTTGATTTTATTTTTGTTAGAGTGTCCACGATCATATGAGAATATCAAATGTTGCTATATCCGAAATGAATTGCTATGTGGCGTTTTTTTAACTATCATATATGAAGGAAAAACTACAATTTTGATGACCAATATTTGGGTTTATTTTTTCTATTTTAGTGCACTACCATTACAATCTTCTATTTTAGTGTCCAGTATTGCTTTATTTTTTTCCATTTGAGTTGTTAGCACCCATTTGTTTTTCAAAAAATAAAAATATAAAAAAAAGAAAGAAGAAAGAAAAGGGACTAAAAAAATACAATTGGGAGATGCAATTAAAAAAGAAAGGAGAAAAGGATCAAAATAAAATGGGTTTGTGAGATGAGGGATCAAACCAAACTTAGCCCCAAAAAAGCCTAAAAAATCAAGTATAAAAGCTCTCTTTTTCTCCAAAAAAAAATGACAACTACTATTCATCATCTTCAAAACTCACCCTAGCCGCAAGCCTCCACACACACACCGGCCCTCTACACACGACCACCGGCGACCAGCTCTTACACACCGACCACCTAAATCAAATTTCTAGCTCGCCTTATCCAAAGCCACTGCTGCTCGCCCCACTGCTTTGCCTCACCCCTTGCTTCCATTCTCCCTTGCGCGCCCGAGCATCGGCCCACCCGGCACACCACGCCCACGCCGGACGCACGACACCGGTCCACACACCGACTTGCTACCGGCATCTCCCTCGAGGGCGCGGCGATGAGCGACGACGAGCCCTTCGAGCACACCTCGCCCCATCGGCGGCAACAACACGCCCCCATCAATGCCCCGGCCTCGCGTGAGCCTCGCTAGTGCCTTAGCCCCGAGCGAGTCCGCCGGGGCCTCGGCCTCGTGCACCCCTCGCTTACGCCGGCACGCAACCGCTCCACACCACGCATGTCGGCACCGGCCGCTAGAAGCACCTCTTCCTTGCCTAGGCCTCTTCCCCGTAAGCCAATGCTAGCGCCTACCGGCCGGCGCCCAAGCCAACCGGCGTCGGCTAGCCGGCACCCGAGGCTAATTAGCGCTTGCCGGCCGGCGCTTCTAGCGACCATCGAGCTAGACGTTTCATAACCGACAACCGTCACTCATAGTCATCTTTCCTCTCCAGTTGACTAAATATCAATCTCTGTCGGGGTTGAAAAGAGTCCGAACGATCCCAAATTCAACCGACCAGTCTACCTCCTTTGTTTTTTTACGGTAATCTTTTATTAACCTTTTATTTTACTTTATTTTATCCGAACATGTATTATATGTGATTCATATCATTATGTGCTCGTAATTAAATGATTGTGTTGTATAAATTAGCTTGATTTGTTGATCATGTGTGATGTATTTGAGTTGTGATGATGTGTGTTGTTACGTTTGCGATTAAATGAATGATGTGTTGATTTGAACGTTTAGATACTTGTTATGTGGAATGTATATTTTTAAAATATGTCTTATATGGTAATTTTATTAAAAAAGCACCACTCGAATCAAATAAGTTTAAACTTTTTCCATGTAAATTTGTTCATCAAACATAATTAATTATGTACATCAAAACAACTAATTCCATTGATTTTTTTATTCTTTGTTGATTTTAGTTTGATTGTCAATTTTCATTGATTTTTGCCTATGATTGCCTAAATTACCGATTTTTACTTATTTTTGCCTTAATTGTCGATTTTTGCTTATGATTTCCTGAATTTCCTATTTTTATTTATTTTTGCCTTAATTGCCAATTTTTGCTTATGATTGCCTAAATTGCATATTTTTACTTGTTTTTGCATGAATTGTAGATTTTTACCTATGATTACCTGAATTATCGATTTTTACTTATTTTTGCCTTAATTGCTGATTTTTACCTATGATTGCCTAAATTGCCTATTTTTACTTGTTTTTGCTCGAATTGCCTATTTTTGCCTGAATTGCTTGAATTATTGATTTTTACTTATTTTTGCCTTAATTATTGATATTTACTTATGATTGTATAAATTGTCGATTTTTACCTATTTTTGCCTAAATTGTCAATTTTGCCTCTATTAGCCTAAATGGGCAATTTTTGCCTATGCTTGCATAAATGGTTGATTTTTTTTTCCTAATTGTCAATTTTTACCCAATCATTGATTTTTGTCAATTTTGCCAATTTTATCTATTTACTTATTTTGTCAAGTCCGTCTATTTTTTGCCCATTTGTCTTTAATTTTGTCTATTTTGTCATCCTTGCATTCATCATTTTTAGCCATCCATCACAGAGTGAGGATGAAATCTCTAACCTGGTCAAGTCTTGAATCACTCGACTAGGGGTAAATGTTTAAAAATAAGTGGCCTTTCATCATTTAAAAAATCAAAAATTGAATTAATATTGTATACAATTCGAGCTTGCTTTAGGCAAGATAGGGTAGGGTGATTTTCGTAATGAACCCCTTATCCGAACTCCGAATAGACTAGTCATAGGGTTTCTTAGTAATCGTAATATTAGGTGGCAACTCCAATTATTTTGATCATTTTTTCCATTTTCACCTCAACTCGTCGCCCTCGCCATTGATGTCGCCTCGCGACAGAATGGCGACTCCATTAGGGAAATACTTAGGGTTAGGCTTTGCATGTAAATTTTGAATTTGGTTTCGATGATTTGATAATTTTTTGTGCTTGTATGCCAATTTTTGTAAATTTCTTGCTTTGTTTGAATTCATGCATTTTGCCACTTGTTTGTCTTGTATTTTTATTTTATTTTATTTCATTTTGTATCTTTATTTTATTTTATTTTAATTCTTGTTTTTGGGACTAAATATGGAATAATGCTTATGCACACACTACATTCATCGTTACTTTTTGTCACACACTTGCCTTAGAACTTAGGGAGGTAGTAGTAGTGCCTCGATGGGTTTCGCCTCGGGTAATACTCACGAAATCTTAATGCTTCTTGCTAGTCGCTAATGAGCGAGTGGGTAACCAATGATTTTTCATGTTCACCAATCATCGCCTTTAGCGGCCCTAACGATTCTAACCAATCATCGCCTTTAGTGGTCCCAACGATTCTATTATGATTCGTCAAGCTTGAAGGGACCCTTTTGAGACTTAGGTAGATCCTGTCCCATTCACTTAATGACTTAGAACTAAACCCTAGGATCATAGCTAGTAAATGTCAATAGGCAAATTAGATGTATTGAAACC